GCAACAATTTGCCAAGGCTTTTTCATAAGCACCTATGAAACCTCCAACTGTTTATCACCCTAAAGAACAAGTGTAGCAGATGCATTGAAACATCTCCACTGCAAATTTCCTTCCAAGATATCTATCTTGGAACTATATTGCTGTTCCTTCATAATTGCTGAGTCAAACTCCTGGAATGCCTATAGGTGTACCTACAGTACACAGACTGGTATTGAGAAGGTCATAGAGAATCATAGAGATGCACAGCATGGAAACAGACCCTTCAGTCCAACTTGTCCATGCCAACCAGATATCTTAAATTAATCTAGTCCCATTTGCCAGCATTTGGCCTATTTCCCTCTAAACCCTTCCAATTCATATACCCATCCAGATGTGTTTTAAATGTTGTAATTGTACCAGCCTCCACCTCTTCCTCTGGCAACTCATTCCATACAAGCTTCACACCCTATATGAAAAAATTGCCCCTTAGGTCCCTTTTAAATCTTAACCCTCTCACCTTAAACCTATGCCCTCTAGTTTTAACTCCCCCACTATGGGGAAAAGACCTTGGCTATTCACCCTGTCCATGCACCTCATGATTTTATAAACTTCTATAAGGTCACCCCAAAGCCTCCGACACTCCAGGGAAAATAGCCCCAGCCTATTCAGCCTCTCCCTGTAGCTCAAACCCTCCAACCCTGGGAATATCCTTGTAAATCTTTTTGGCTCACCACCACTTTTTCAGGGTAATTAGGGATGGGCAACAAACATTCACCTTGCCAGTTATGCAAGTATACAGCAAAAGGTTTATAAATAAATTGTTTGTGGTCTCTGATTTAACACCAATTTTTGCTCCTTTGTGCCCAAGTTGTGGGACTTGAGCATGTCTGGTGCACGACTGGTTTCACCATCCAGCCTCAGATTTGGCTGGATCACTGGAAGTTCCATTTCTACTCACTCTACCTCACTGAAGTCATCACTCAAGGATCATCCAGGAAAGCAAAGCTCATCCTTGATTGGTTTTATCCTCTGTCAATCTTCTCCTTTATCCCTTCTTCCCTTTTTCCTTCACCCTCCTCTCCCACAACAATTGTAAGGAGCATACGATCTTCTTTAAGATCCAGCTGGAATAATCCACTCAGCTACCTGTTTTATTTCCCTATGCTCACCAAGATGAATCTTATCCTCTGCCTTAGGCCTAAAACTCACGTCCTTCTCTAGTTTTTATTTCTGGTTCAGATAAGAGGGGCCCAGTGACCTTCTTTTATACCGTAGCAGTTCTGTGATTCAGCGTTATGCTCTCAACTCCATTCACACGAAACTGCTGGTCACCCTTTAGTTGGTGTTATAAATGCAGGTTCAGGATGCATTACTCTCTAGGGGTGGCGATGGCCTAGTGGTATTATCACTGGATTGCTAATCCAGAGACCCAGATAACATTCTGGGGACCTGAGTTTGAATCCCGCCATGGCAGATGGTGAAATTTGAGTTCAATAAATATTTCATATTAAGAGTCTAATGATGACCATGAATCCATTGTCAATTGGCAGGAAAAACCCATCTGGTTCACTAATGTCCTTTAGGGAAGGAAACTGCCATCCTTATCTGGTTTAGCCTACATGTGACTCCAGACCCACAGCAATGTGATTGACTATTAGCTGCCCTCTGGGCAATTAGGGACGGGCAATAAATGCTGCCTAGCCAGCAATGCCCTCATCCTGTGAATGAACTTAAAAAACTCTCTCTTTCAAACTGCCATCACAACCCTTCCAACTCCACATTTGAATCAGGTTTCAGTGAGTGCCACAGCATTGAAATAGTCCCAACCAATATCACAAATGAAATCCTCAGTGACTGTGACATTGGAGCATTATCCATCATTTACCTGCCAGTATCCTTTTACTGCTGACCGCACCATTCTCTTCCAATGTGTCTCCTTCATTGTTGAGTAGGGTGGTCCAAATCATGTCTACATGAGTGGGACCACCCTATTTGGTTTCAATCTTACCCATTCAGTTGCAGCCAGAGCATTTACAGCAATTCTTCCCATATCTATACACTAAAGGTGTTGTTGGTACCTTTTCTACCACTGACTTTAATCTACATAATCCGACTTAGTTCTATTTACCTTTTTGAAGATAAAAATGAAATTTGCAGTCCAACACCTATCTGGCACTTTTGGATTGAATTGTTATGTTTGATACCAGTGCCTCTGCCATCTTTTTTTTCTCTATTCATTCACAGGACGAGGGCATCGCTGGCTAGGCAGCATTTATCACCCCATCCCTAATTGCCCAGAGAGCAGTTAAGAATCAGTCACATTTCTGTGGGACTGGAGTCACATGTAAGCCAGACTGGGCAAGGATGGCAGTTTCCTTCCCTAAAGGACATTAGTCTCAAGTCAAAAAAGTCCCAGCCTACCAAGCATCTCTCTATAACTCAAATTATCCCGTCCCAGCAACATCCTTGTACATCTTTTCAGTCCGAAGCGGCTTCCACAGACTCTGCCACACGTGGGGCAAAAGTCAGAAGGTGTGGGTGGGGCGTTGGTGTGGCAGACCGCTCCTTATGCTGTTTTCACCCAGATTGTGCTTTTTTTCCCAACAGCAACCCTCAAGGTGCTCAACACCATCCCAGAAGCTCCTCCTCACTTTGTACAGTCTAGGGTAAGTGATTCCCAGGTGTCTGTGGGAATGCTGCACTTTGCCAGTGAGGCCTTGAGGGTATCACTGAAGCATTTCCTCTATCCATTCGGGGCTTGCCTGTGTTTTGGAGCTGGGAGTAGAGCACCTGCTTGGGAAATCTCATGTTGGTCATGTGGACAACATGTCCAGCCCATTGCAGGTGATTAAGGGTGGTCAGTATCACAATGCTGGGGATATTGGCCTGTTCGAGGATACTGGTTTTGGTGCATCTATCTTCCCAGCAGATTTGCAGGAAGTTGCGCAGGCAGTTTGAGTGGTACTGCTCCAGCACCTTAAGATGTCTGCTGTAGACAGTCCAGTTCTCAGAGCCATATAGGAAGGTGGGAACTAACACAGCTCTATATACCATTAGCTTGGTGTCCCTAGCTACTGATGAGGTTGAACAAGAGGATTTGCAATTTAGCAATCCATTTAATCATGAGATGATTTTTCATCTCCAGACCGTTCCATCAGCAAGTCCACTTCTGTAATGTCACATGCCTAAGCCCCTGCCCCACCTCATCTGCAGAGGAAACCCTCATTCAAGCCTTTGTTAGCTCTAAACTTGACTATTCCAATGTATTCCTGGCCTGCTTCCCACTTTGCACCCTCTATAAACATGAGATCATCTAAAATTCTTAATCCAACCTCACATCATCTCTTTTCAACCATCTCCCTTGTATTCATTGACCTACACTGATTCCTGGTCTGTCACCTCTTCAGTTTTAAAATTCTCATCCTTTTTATTTCAAATTCCTCATAGGCCTTGTTATTCTTTAATACCGCTTTCAGCCATAGCGATGATCTGAAATATGCATTCTTCTCCAAATCTGACCCCTTGCACAGCCTTGACTTTTGTTACTCCACATGTCACTACATTTAAAACGCTATATAAATGCAAGTCGGTCTTGTTAAATTTTGCTTTTTTCCATCGAGTCATGGAGATATACAGCACAGAAACAAACCCTTCGGTCCAACTCGTCCATGCCGACCAGATATCCTAAATAAATTAAGTCCCATTGCCAGCATATCCCTCTAAAACCTACCTGTTCATATACCCATCCAGATGCCTTTTAAATGTTGTAATTGTACCAGTTTCCTTCACTTCCTCTGACAGCTCATTCCATCCATGCACCTCCCTCTGCGTGAAAATGTTGCCCCTTAGATCCCCTTTAAATCTTTCCCCTTTCACCTTAAACCTATACCCTCTAGTTTTGGACTCCCCCACCCAGGGGAAATGACCTTGTCTATTTACTCTATCCATGCCCTTCATGATTTTATAAACCTCTTCCTATCTCTTAACTGTAGTAATAGTCCCCTTGACGTTTTATTGTTGTCAGTTTCTCTTTTTTATTTCAATGAAGATGGAGGTAAAACAAAGATTTGCTATCTTTGCCATTTCAACATTTCCTGAGTTTATCTTATTCATCCTGAAAAGGCCCCATGTCTATCTTACTTCAATTTTTAATTATGTGTCAACATTTGTTTTCATATTGGATTTTATTCTATTTCATTTTTTGCTATTATTGCCTTTATAATCTCTTTCCCAATGCTGTTCTCTCCTTCATTGCAAAATGAACATTTTTAAAAATGTATTTTTTTTAAAGGTTGTGACTTAACTAGCTTTCTCTACCTCACACAACACCATAGCAACCTTTCTGCACAAGCAATTGCTTCTCCTAGTAAATTTGTTCAATATTGAAAGGGGTGGTGGGGCTGCTGGGGGCTAGAGGAAATATCTTTCATTGTTAATGTCCATGATTTACGACACTGGCAAAGAACATTTGATCAATTTATTTTGCTGTTTTGCGCTCTCTTGACTAATGAGTGTAAACCACCAGCGCATTTCACATGGGTGGTTTAACACTGAGCCTGCAGGAGGAACGACTCCTGATCCATTGGGTTTGGAAATCCAGACCAGATTTTACCACGAACATGTTGGCTAATGGTTGGTTAGAAGGTCTCCTCACTTGAGTTGCTGGCTGGTATCACTCCACGGGGTCATCATAGTTGTTCTTGCAGAGAAATTATTGCTAAGCAAATGGTTCGAGTCCATACACAGACAAAAAAAAACACATACACACGCACACACCTCTCAAAATCACCCTTTGAATCGAAGACAGTTGCTTCATTTCTTGGCAAGGGGTTGGGGAAAGAGGAGGTTGCCTTCTTTTGTTTCTGCTGGGTGTTATGAGAGTGGGGAGGTGGGGGGTTAGGAGGAGGATGTGGTGTTAACAAACTCTTTGGGTTGAAGGTACTAATTGTTGCAGGACTGTGACTGACAGAAGGTGCAGGAGGAGGAGTAGGAGGAGGAAGGGGAAGAGGGGGAGTTGTTCTCTGGCTCTTTCCAAGATGGCCACCAATGATGGAGTAATGTAATAACTTTACAGCGCGTTTGTTTGTTTTTTTAGTTTTTAGAAAAGCTCCTTTGACTCCTGGAAGAGGACTGCGAGCGGGGAAATATACAAGGACTTTCGCAACCCCTTTTGATTTTGGAAGAAGGGAGGGGAAATACAGCTGTGTATATAGTATGTCTGTATATTTCTCAGAGAAACCTTTGGATTAGGACTTCAGCCGTGCGTTGGATTCCACCCCCCCCCCTCCCTATCTTTCCCTCCCCTCATGACTTGTGAGAGGATTTGGGAGGAGGATTCACAGACACAGCCACCTAAAGAAAATCTCTTGATTTATATTAGATATTCTTTCACCTCTCTGCTGCTCTTTCTCTTCCTGTTTCCCCTTTCTCTTCATTTCCTCTCTTTTTTTCTGAACGTACAGAATTTCTTCTTGAGTCTATCGCGAAGTTTTTTTTTGGGGGGTGACGGAAACTAACGTCGAAAGGAAAAGAAGCTTCGAAGTCTCTTCCCCCTCCCTCCCTTCTCCACCCGTATTTAGTGGAGTTTTTTTTTCCTGGGGGGGAAAAAATTGAAGTGTCTTTTGAGAGCGACAGAGGAGAGGAAACAACAACAAAAGGCTCGACGCTTGAGGCGGCTTTTCTTTTTCAATATATTATATAATTTTTTTTTGGGACGTGGCAAGAGAAGGAGGGAGAAGGTTTTCTTTTAAGGGAAGAGAAGCGGGGAAGAGGAAAAAGAAAAGCAAATCCACGGAAGACTCTGGATAAATTTCTTGTGGCAGTCGATTTCCGAGCTGAGGAAGACAGAAACTTATTTACTGTTTTAAAATATACACCAGCCGCGACGACAACAACAACAGAAAGAGAAAGCTTTTCGACAGAGGAAATCCAAGTTCGTTTCGTTTGATTATAATTTACACCTTTCCTTTCGTAAAAAAATTCAACAAAAAAAAACAGCCGTTTACACCGATGACAGTTGAGGTCATGAGCACAAAAACTCCGCTGTTCTAGGATTTAAAAAGGTGAGTTTCTCCTTTTTTATTTTAGAAGTTTATTTTTTTCGCGACAAGATAAATGTACACATGTTAAATTGACGAGGTGGTTGCGTGGCTCCGGCTCCTTTTCAGGCCATTGGGGAGAGGAGGAGGAGGAGGAGGAGGAGGAAGGGGGGTCGGGCGCCATTGTGCAAGTTGCTCAGTCATGGTTTGCAAGAGGAGGACGGATCACTTTTAGATATAAACATAAGCTTTATTTTCTTTTTTTCAAGAAAAGAACTGTTTTTTTAAAATAGCTTGCAATAACTTAAATGCATTGTTGTGTTGATACACGTCACTTTTTCTTGCAGTTTTGTTTTTAAACACCATTTTGTTGACGAAAAGAGGGTAGTTAAGGGGGGGGTGGGTGGAGCTGATGGGGGGAAGGGAACGGGAGGGGAAAAAAAACATTTTTTTTCGACCAGTCGGAGACAAAGCCTAGAAGCTGCTGTCGAGAAACTGTCAAACTCAATTTTTCAAGCTACAACTTTTATGCCCAACTGAGTGAGGTGTGGGCTATTGATCATGCTGAAGGCTTGTTAGATGGGATTCTGATGAATGGGAAAGCCATCAGGTCTTGAATATGTCCAAACTCGCAGTAAAACTGCCAAGTCGAAGATGAACCTCCTAGTCATGGGTCTCCTTGTTTGTTTTTACATGACAGTATTTCCAATTAACTTTTTTTTTGTCTGTTTAAAAATGTTAACCACCATTACTTTCCGACACACCGTAAGTGTGGTGGTGAAATGCACACACCCGGTTACGCGAGTTTCTTTTTGAAGCCCATGTTTGTTTTGCCAATTTCTTTTGACAATTAAAAACTTGAAAAAAGCACGTTTTTGTTTTGTCCACTGGTATTGAATGGCACCAGCAAATTTCCCCAAGGTAGCTTGTGATTTCCCCTTTTCCACTCCACTTGAATTAAACAGGCATTAATCAACTGCCATATGCCAAAAAGATTGGACTTCATTTTCCAACTGAAGAGAGATTTAGAATTATGTGAATATTTTTGTTTTAATCTTGGTTTTTATTTTGGCCACTTTGTTTTAAACTGTTTCCTATACTGTGGATATATCAATGGCTAAATATGATTAACAGATTTTTTGATCTTGTTAAATTGCCAATGCTTCAAAAAGAGAGAAAATAAAACTTGATGTGGCAAAGACTGATGTCACCTTTTTAAATTGTGCTATCTCTGTATGCCATTTTATTATAATTTATTTAGATTATGAAAGGCCTTTATTGACCAAGCACACTACTGCAACTGGCCTTTACATTGTCTTTTATAGTATGTTAGAATATAATCTGCAGTTTAAGATTGAATTGGTTTGTAATTTAAAGACCTCTCATAGATGTTTTTAATTGTATATTACACAAGGTCTAATATACATAAGTAAATATGTAATTGGACAATTTACTAGTGCAATGTTGACAGCATGGTACATTAACCAAATGAGCACACAACTGTTCTTTTCCTAATGTTGAAACTGAAGGAAATAATCAGTGTTGTACATTGGTACTTCCGTGTGAGTTGTATATTATAATTTAGTGGCAATCACAGGACTAAAACAATGGCAGAGAATGACATTCACAGGACTAAAACAGTGACATAGAGAAAAGTTTGTTCAAGTAAGTATATGCTTACAGACAATATTGTCTGACCAAGGGGTGGTGGGAGGTGGGGAAGAGATCTAATTTTTCTTTTACTCAACAACTACAATGTGTAAAATTGAGAGATTCTGGGCTGCTGAATACTGTGGTACATATGTCGTGTTTTGTGATGAGGGGGAGATGCTGGACTGCAGACTCCATAACCTGACACATCCTTAACTCCACTATCTACAGGAAAGCAACTCTATTTTAATGAGATAACAAGGTGTAGAGCTGGATGAACACAGGCCAAGCAGCATCAGAGGAGCAGGAAAGCTGACGTTTCGGGTCTGGACCCTTCTTCATTTCTGAAGGTGTACCTGAGATTCGGGTGCGAACCTGGTGAAGCTACATCATGTACATACTAAGTAGAAGCGGCATGCCATAAATGATCCTGCTATAAATGGATCAGATTAAAGTTGTGTAGTAGATATCAAGTTATCTGATGGTGGTGGGCATCTGATGGGAGGAGGTACCTCTGAGATGATCCCAATTAGCGATGGTGGTGCTAAGCATTTAAGTGCAAAAGACAAGTTTGAAGTGTTTGCAACCATCTTCGGCCAGTAGTGAATGACCTCCTGAGTTTCTAAATTACATAAACGAGTCGGCCAATTTGTCTCATTCCATGCAATGTCATGAAATGACTGAAGCCCCTGGATACAGCCTGGATCCTGACAGCATTCTGCTATGATGCTGAATGCATCTATTTCAAAATTAGCCAACTCTTTAACAGGACTGTGTATCCGTACTATTACAATAATAACATCTACCTGACAAGGTTGAAAATTGCCCAGGTGCGACATACGCAAAATGTAGGACCAGTCAAAGGCTGCCAAATGGCCAGATATCAGTCTACTCTTCAGTTGTCAGTAAAGTGGTGGAATGTGCTGTGGGTAGTGGCACACACTCACTGGTGTTCAGTTTGAATTTATCTTAGACTCTTTAGCTTAATATGTCATGACACCCTTGGTCCAAGCATGAACTGGAGGTGAAGAATTTTATAGGTGAGGTAAGATTAAGACAGAATTTGACCAAGTGGTATCAAGGAGACCTAGCAAAATGTTTTGCTCAAATTTTTTGGGGTGGAGTGTGGGCACAGGTGTCTGTTGATAGAGTCATAACTAACAAGATGGTTGTAGTTGTTGGAGTCAATCATCTCAGCCACAGGACACTGCTGTAAGGGTTCCTCAACAATGTTCATTGCTTAAATATCTTCAGTTGCTGCATCAGTTATCTGTCCATCGTTGCAAGTTTAGAAATGGGATGTTTATTGTTGATTGTAGTGCTCAATACTATTCACAACTCCTCGGATAATAAAGCAATTTGCATGTAGTAAGACCTGGACAGTATTTACCTTGGGTTTATAAGAGGCAAATAACATTCTTGCCACACAAGTACTAGGCTTGGATCACCTCCAGCAAGAGAGAATCTACTTCTGGAGTGATTATTTCACATTGGCAACTTGCATTGTCAATTCCGATTTACCTTTTAGATGTACCTCTCTTTTAATGGCAACAGTAACAGTGCGGTGATAACAAGGTGTAGAGCTGGATGAACACAGCAGCATCAGAGGAGTAGGAAGGCTATCTCAGTAACAGTGCGGTATTGAGTGGGTGCTGCACGATTACTGATGTCAACATTCTACCTGTCTGCTCGGCTATGTATAAAAGATGCCATGACTTTATATCATATTTATCCCTTAAATCAACTGGACAAAACAGATCTAATAATTATCACTTTACTATTTGTGGGAGTTGCTTTGCTTGTATTGGCTGCCATGTTTCCTACATATTCCAAGGAGCATTTTGAGATAACAAGGTGTAGAGTTGGATGAACACAGCAGGCCAAGCAGCATCATTAGAGCAGGAAAGCTGACGTTTCGGGCCTAGACTCCTCTTTGTTGGCTTTTGAAACGTTTTGTAGTGGAAAGTGCTAGGAAAATGTGGATCTATTTTTGTATGGTGTGGAGCTATAGCCTACAAAGGATCATAGGCATCTCCCTACATTAAAGAGAGACAATTTCTTATATGTAGCTCAATGGCCACTCCACAAGCATGGGGCAAGGTGAGGAAGCAAGCCTCCGTGAACTACCACAGCCAGTGGAGGGACTGAACCGGCATTGTTGGCCTTTATTCTGCACGACAGTCTTGACATAGAGCAATTGGGCTAACTGTGGCCTTCGTTACTTTATTGGCCTTGGTTTCTTGAAATGCAGTTTTTTTTTTAAACTAATGGAGTCTTCTGAGATAAAATGATCTTTTTTGCCTGCTTGTTTTGTTACTTATTGTTTTGAGCCTCCAAAAGATCTTCAATTAAGATTGTAACCTGCAGCCTAAAATGTCATGTGACTGCTGAAGAATGGGAAAAACGCAAGTGACTTGATTTTCATGGACATTTTCACAAGAGACAATGGCTTGATGAATGATATTCAAAAATACATCTCGTTTTGATTAAGCAAATATGTTAGTCATTTCTGCTGCAGTTATTGCTGTAGCAAGTTCATCTAAGTAAAACATGACCAGCTTGATTAATGAAAGTTTTGTAGCAGGCTTTAGGAGAGGAAAGATGTGCGTCGGTGAAATAAACCTGTAAAATAGCATCCACAATTCAATAGAAGAATTCATGTTGCTGTACTTGAGAAAGCTCGCACAAAACACTTGCTACTTGTCCCTTTCTGCGTGGAATTTGTTTTCTGACTGTACTGAGATTTTACTTTTTATTTCTTATATAGAGATTTTCTAGTTTGCCTTTCTAGATACTAAATTAGTTACAAAAAAGTCACAAATATATTCTATTTTTTAAAGTAATCAGTGCGAATAGTTTGAGTGGTTCTACTTCCACATCAAATAAGTTGCCAGAGTCTTTAACAAAGTAAAACAACATTGGCTTAACTTTTAATATTTTGCATGGCAAACTAATTTAAACTTGACTGGTTGGAGGCTGAAAGTTAGGGAGTGAATTGCAGAGCTTGGAGTTCAGGTGCTTAAAGGCATGGCTACCACTGGTGGGGTCATTAAAATTTAGGGATATTGATTAAGCTAGAAGGAGGAGTGCAATGATCTGAGGTTTGAGATTGGAGGAGGTCATAAAAATAGGAAATGTATGGCTGTGGAGGAGTTCAAACACAAGGATGAGAATTTTAAGATGCTGGTTTGGCATGTGAAGCTATTCTTCAGCTCAGTGTGTTTACAGCATTTTATCTTCTGAAGAGAGGCTAGTGCTGTTTCCATAAGCCCATGAACTGAAGCTATCAAATGGGAAAGTTTGGCCCTGACAACTATCTACTCTGAATTTGAGTAACCATGCAATCAATTGATGACATTCAAATAAAGCTACCA